TTTGTCATATTAATTGGAGGGCTAAATAGTATTAAAAGCTTATATGCTTATAGTTGAATTTAATTTCTTGACAAGAAGAATCTAACGAGCCTAATATCATTTTATTCTGATATATATAGCCATCAAATAAATATATTTTTGGATTTTTTTATACATTTACAGAGAACGCCACTCTTAGAATTTATAAATAATCGCCCGGGGGGGTGGAGAGTGGGAGAGAAAAAGAAGAGAGATTAGACCATTGCCCAATCACTATTGAGTGATTATAATCTCCTAACTGCAATCCTGCGACTATCATCGTCTAATTATAATTTCCCAACCACCATCATTTGATTACAATCTCTCGAACATCGTCACTTGACTTTGATCCCTTGATCTCCATTGCTCAATTACGATCTTCGGATCACCATCAATCTACTACATTATCTAGACCACTATCGCCCGTATACGATCTCTTAACTACTATTAATCAACTACGGTCCTTCGACCATCATCGATTTATTATGATTGTTTGACCATCATAGCTTGATTGTGGCCTCCCGATTATCATCATTCAACTACAATCTCCTAAACATCATAGCTAGACCATAATTGCCCGACCATTAGCATTAGACAACAATCTCATGGCCATCATCACCCCAACCACTGTCATGTCCATCACCACTTGATTATTGTCTCCCATTGAGCCTATCATTACCAACAATATTAACACATGCTATTACTTGTAAGGTTGACACATGCCATCAACACCAACATTAACACTCGCCAACTTCATTACTCACCATCGCCAATAACACTGAAGCATGCCATCATTTATAAAGTTGATACTTGTAGTCGACACCAATGTTGATTCCCTATGGCTTTGTTATTTGTTGTTGCCAGCAACTTCAATGCAGACCATCGCTAGTAAGGAAGACCAAGATTTATATTGAACTTCTTAGCATCTAGCTTTCTCTCATCAAATGAGAACAACAAAATATGCCACAAAAGATCTATTGAAAATAACTCCAATGCATCAAGGTATATTTAACTTTCATCATGGAATACAATATTCATACTTCATGCATACCATTTTGTATCATTATGTTAGACGCCTGTGAGGTGGAACGGTTTTAGCATGTTTAAGTGGTTCGGGGATCAGTAATCCAGCAACATTTTAGCTAGCAATTAAGAGGAAATTAAAGAGGGGATTAGAAGGGAAATTCAAATTAGGAGGGTTGTTTTGGCATTAACTATATTTTGTATGCTTTAAATATATTGCTTACCCTAGGGTTAGGTTTATCTTGTGTTTTTTGAAAATTGGAGAGTTCTAAGGTTTTGTTTGGGCTCTAGTCATCAGTTACAAATTGGGAGAGCCGGATCCTCAATCCTCCTCTCAAAATGAGGATCCAACTATATCTTGTTATTTTCTTTCGTATTCCTTATGATAAAAAGTTTGTGGTGTGTCTTCTTTCTAATTTTTTCATCACAGTTTGTTAATTGGGTTGAAAGAGCACTACTTCCTATGAAATTGGTATCAGAATAATTTCTTGGGCAAAAATAAGTCTTCTTTGCTTATTTATGCTGCATTTCCTCTTTGATCTTGCTGTTTTTCATTGGTTGAAGACCATAACCGTTGTTTTTTTGGCTGTTTTTGTTATTTGGAGCCGAGATCCGAGTACTCATGGCAGGAAAAAAGGAAGAGGTGTTAGAGGGGAAGATCAAATAATTGAAATATGAAATTTTAGATTTTTGAACTCAAGTTTTAGATTTAAAAGTCAAATTTCAGACGTCCATCAGAAGATCGATGGAAAATTTTTCATCCTAGAGGAGATGTTGAAGAAGTTGCTCGAGGGCTAAATCAAAATGAAATCGTCAGAGGAAAGTGATGCCGCTGGTAATCAAGAAAGTGGGCAAAAACCTATTCCGATAAGGCGAAGGGAAGATCAGGAGGCAGAGATTGTGGAGGGAGAAGGGAGAATGTTTCCTCTATAGTATATTCCTAGGCAGGAGTCAGGTAGAGTGTATGAGAAGAGGTGTGAAGGGGTTGGGAATGAGCGAAATTGTGTTGAATTTGAAAGGAAAATGATTGAATTTTAAAGGAGAAGGGATGGATTTGAAATGAATGGTGTTGAATTCGAAAGGATGGGGTCTAGATTTGAAAGGCAAGGGCTTGACTATGATTGAAGGAGTGTCGAATTTGAAAGGAGAGGGGCTGAGTACGATCGAAGGGGATGCTTAATTTGAAGGGAGAATGTGGGCTTGTGATGAAATATTTGGTATGAGTAAAGAAGGGATGATTGGTATTATTGGGGGGAACCACCCTCTTAGGGAATGGAAAAATTTGGAGGAAATAGGGGTGATAGAGGAGATCTAAGGGTGAGGAAGTTGAAGATGTACATGAGTGAATCTACATGATGGAAATATACTTTATTGTCAATAGGTTGATAGAGGATGAGAGATTGATAGTAGTCGGGATGTGCTTGGTGGAGAAAGCTTTATTATGAAACAATTAGAGGGATACGAAGCGACCCATAAGCACTCAGAGAGAGTTTAAGGACTACTTATTGGAACGTTTATAAACTGGTATGGAAGGAGACTTCTATGAGTAGTTTTTTCCTATGACACAAGAGAGACAGTGGTGGAATATCGTGAGCAGTTTGAGCACCTGGCTAGCCGACTGGACCGATTTCCAGAGATTGTACTGGAGGGGAACTTTATTAATGGGCTCAATCTAGAGATTCAAGCAAAAGTTAGAGTGATGAGGCCTCATGATTTGGGAGAGATTATGAAGCTAGCCAAGTTAGTGGAAGATCAGAGGCACCTGGAGAGAGGGGAAGGAGGCAATAACTCAAGAGGATCATATAGGATGACCACCACTTTTTCATCAAAGGAGCCAACACTGGTACTTTTAAGGAGACCTCAAGAGAGAAGATTATAAGAGGAAGACTAGGGTAAAACTTCAAGAAACTCATAGAAACGGAGCTACTAGACAAAAGGGCGAATGGGTTGTGTTTTAGATGTGAGGAGAGGTATACACCATAGCACAGGTATAAGAACCGAACTTTTCAAGTTCTCACTATTTGTGATGACGAGGAGGTCGAGGAATTCGTCTTTCCACCTTGTGGACAAGATGAGTCTTTGGGAGGGGGTTATTGTTAGGCGCCTATGAGGCAGAATAGGTTTCACCTCTTTAAGTGGTGTGGGGCCCAACAGTCCAGTAGCATTTAATGCTAGAATTAAGAGGAAATTAAAGAGGGAGTTATGAGGAAAATTTAAATTATGATGGCTATTTTGGCATTAACTATATTTTGTATGGTATAAATATATTGTTTACCATAGGGTTAGATTTTATCTTGTGTTTTCTAAAAATTGGAGAGTTCTTAAGTTTTGTTTGTGCTCTGGCCGCAGGTTAGAGATCGGGAGAGCCGGATCCTCTCCAATTGAGGATCTAATTGTATCTTGTTATTTTCTTTCGTATTCATTGCAATAAAAAGTTTGTGGTGTGTCTTCTTCCTAATTTTTTCATTACGGTTTGCTGATTGGGTTGAAAGAGCACATGCTTCCTATCACATTATCTTCCCCAACTACAAGGAAGGACATTATCTGTAGCTAGTATTATATACTAATTAATATAATCATTTAAAATGGCCTAGGCCTATTTTTTATGGGATTTTCACATAAAAACTCATGTATCTCTGACATCTCTTTTATATCTATATGTGCTAGATCATCATCATGGAAAGCCAAGACATTGAATAATTATTTTCTACTAACATGGATATTCTAGCACAAATAATACTAATCCTTATAAATATATAGGATCATTAGCCATTAAAAGTTGAACCCTAAGAAATCTCACTATAGTATACATCAAGAACTGAGGATTAAGAGATAGAATCCTAGGGCTCAACCCACTCTCATTGATAAAAGATTTTACCTGAGAAAAGTGTAGCAGTTTTTATTAGCTCCTTTTGATACCTTAATCAGGGGACTTTTCCCCTCAAAATGGTCAAGTAAAGTCTACTCCCTCTAATCTCGAATATTCTTGGAAATGACAGTCTCAACGCTCTCTCATTTGCAAGCAAGTTCATTTCTCAAAGGCACCTGTAGCTTTCTTGAGGTCTTGCTTTCAAAACCTCTAATGAAAGGCAGTAGAGTTCCAAGAAATTCATTTGCTGTAAGTTTCTTTTGAATATTGTTTGTTTTCTGTCGTTAGTACTTATTTCAAACTGAATTTTTTCATCGTTCTTTGAATAAAAAAATTGAAGAACGAATGTAATCATACAGTTTTGTTTACGAAGTAAAACAACAAAAATCACTTTTTTCTCGTAAAATTTGCTAAAAAAAGTGAAAAACAGAACGCCAAACTCTTCACCTCCTCCACTAGTAACAAAATAAAATTTTATTATATGAAACTCTTAACTAAAGAAGAAAAGGAAATATCTAAGTTGAAGTCGTTTCCCACTTGCTTCTATTTGACAGATCATAAACATTTACTTTCTTTCTAGACTCTAAGGCTTCGTTTGGAGCAGTTTTCTTGCTGCTTTTTAAAATAATTTTTTAGTACAAATTTTTAAATTTATACTAAAAAGTTATTTTAAGAATCAACCAAACGAGGCCTAAACCTAACTTCAAAAACATTTGGTGTGCAATCAAAATTTTAGTTGTTTGGTGCTCATTTTCTTTCTTGTAGATTCAAAAAGAAATAATGACAAGTTTTCTCATTTTATATATTAAAAATGAAATACAACACTTCTGATAAATAAAATTATTAAAAAAATTTTAAACTCATCAGTTTCTAACAACATCTAACTATTAAATTCATCATACTTTTTAACAATATTTATTTTTAAATGCCATTGGAACAAAAAATTAATGATGGAGCTGAACTTGTTCCAAATTTTGAATCTCTTGCAAACCTGAGAGCTTTAATTATGATTGGAAATAAGAAAACCTTATTTCACCTCTACTCTTCATGCTAATTCAACTGCAACAAAAGAAAACTAAGGAGAGCAAAATTAATTAATTCTCTCTTGATTCTTAAATGTTGGAAGCTTCCTATTTACATCAATATATATTCCCCATACATTAGAAGAGCATGGCAAGATCTCTTTTGAATAAATTTTCAGGTAAGAATCCTTTCCAAGTATACAGTTATGAGTTTTTGGAGCTTCAATTACCTCCCTTTTGATATATTTACATAAACCTAAAAACCAGGAATTAGTGAAGCCACAACTTCCTTGAGTACAAGAGCTGCATCACTGAAACAGATCTGTGCCAAAGGTATGCTCCGGCTCTTCAGCGCATTGTCAAGCTGCCAGTAAGCCATTATCAAATCAATTTAACTTGGTTTTCGTATGGTATGGTTGTATTGATATAAAGCTTTTATGATACAATATGAAATATAATGATCACTCGCACGTAGAAATATGAACTTTCCAAAATTTAAGCTTCTAACGTTTAGGCAGCATAGCAAATATATGTGAAATTTCTCATAAAGGAAGTTCTGAAAACAATTCCCAGTAACAGAGATTTATTTGATAGTGTTGACCTAAATTACTCATTAGTGTTAGGAAGTTAGGCTCCACATCGAAGCACGATTAAAACTTCGTTTGAGACGGCTTTCTTATTGCTTCTTAAAACAACTTTTTAGTAAAAAAATTACTAAAAAACTACTTTAAGAAACAGTAAGAAAGCCGTCCCAAACGAAACCTAAATCTTTATGGCACATTTTTTCTTCATAGAACAAAATTAGACTTCACAACTTAAAAATTATTTACCTCTACTGCAATTGGATCTCATCATCTCAACTCAGAGGAACAACTTTGATACAGTATGGAACAAGACTGAATCAATCCAATCCCAGATAGTAGCAAAAGTCATTGCAAGCATAAGAACTAAAGTATCCTCTCTTGTTTTATCACTTTTGGAGTAGATGAAATAATATTTGGTGTTAAGCATCAAAACATCTTACTTTCAATGACAGCATTTAGGCTCCACATCTAAAATTGTGAAATCTACAATTGAACTATGGTCCATAGTTAGTCTACCTTTTCTGCAAGTTGTGAAGGATACCATGGTGTCCAAATCAAAAGCTTCGGGTGGAAGATAAGAACTAAGGGACTAGGAGACATACCACTATACTACGGACAAAGGCACGCATGCTATATCTATTGGAGAAGAAGACACTAAGCTCCATTCCAATCGGTACAATCCATCAGAACTAGCTTTGAGACTGCTTGACAAACATGAGATATATATATTCATGGACCCTAAAAACTGGCTAGAAAAAATTTCTCAGAGTAAAAAAAAAAACACAAAATTTTGGAACATGGAAAAGTAAACTTTTAATAAAATGAAGAGGGAAAAAATTAGAGGGTTTGACATTTGGAATCTTCCCCTCTTCTGAATACCAAAATGATTGAGAAATTTTTTTCTCCTCTACATAATGATTTGAAAGTAGCATTGTGAAGTGATTCTTGCTTGTAGTTGTTATATTTTAGTAGAGTAATTGAATGATATATTATTGTGACCACGAATAATTCATAGTCACTAGAGTGAGAACATAGCTTGAATAAATTAGGGAGAAATGAGAGTCATACTAAAAATTTCGGTAAAGAAATACCATCATGCAAACGAGAAATTATTCTGTGCGGACTCTGGACATAGCTCTACGTCCGGATGCCACGGTAGAGTAAAAGGGTGACGTGATGCATTTTTATTGGTCTCCGGACGGCATTCAGTGTCCGCACAGAATAATTTTTCCATGCAAACAGACTAGATTGCTTTGTATGGTGCGAGCTATCGAGATCAATTGACTAAGTTAGCTTTTCCATTAGATTTTCAACTCTACAGCACAATATATAAATATATATTTTAAAAAGAATAGGAGTAAAGAAACCTAATTCAAAAGTCGCAGCAAAATTTCTCCCAAAATAAGAAAACTAAAGTAAACTTTAGATGTAGTCTTCACAGCAGGCAAATCATACCCAAGACATCAATTTTTTTTTCTTCTCCACACTTTTGAAAACAACAAACATGTATTTTCCTTGAACATAAAATATGGAAAATATTGTTGAACTTAATAATTCAGTAAGAACTGAAGGAGAAAATTAAACCTAAAACATTACCTCTTCCATGTAATGGAACAATCTGTTGGCAAGGTCAGTCAGATTCCTCTTCTGTTCATCACGATAATATGAGATAACATGATAGATATCACAATACAGGAAAGTGGATTTGAGGCGCAGATCCCTTCCAATAAATTCCCACCAGGAATCATCATCATCAACATCAATCAGATCTTCACCCAAAGATAGGAGATCAAAAGCACAATTTCGAATTCTAAAGACACTCCCTTTGCATTCCAGGTTCTCCATTGCTCCAATTCTGAAATAAAAAGCAAAAAAGAAAAATCATAAGAGATGAATAGCATTGGCCCCAAGAGACTAGGTACAAAAATCAACAGTGAAAAAAGTATTGGCTATAGATAATGGACAATTAAAGTTGAAAAAACCTAGTAAAAAAGTTCAAATTCACAAAAGACTTGATGAGGATAGGTCTATATAACACTTCTAGGAAGATTATAAGCTGGCCTTTTTCCTTGTTAATGTCCCACACTTCCAGAAGAAAAGAATTTTTTATACGAATTTTAAAAATATCTTCTTTCTCACAACAATTCTCCAACTGTTTTTAATGATTGTTGCAGCCTTTCCAAATGAATCCACAGGCAAAAATGGAAGACAGGTCAATGTGTGGCCCCGAGTAAGCAAAAAGAGAGAGCTGGCCATTCTTATTCAATTATGATGTAGCAATATATAGCAGTAATTTTCAAGAATAACAGCTCATAGTTGGTGATTAAGTTTTAAAGAAGGAAAGGTAACCAATTGCATAGCCATAAGCATAGCGAGCATCAGAACACTAATGAAGAAAGGTATCAACTAGTTGCTAAGAAACTACGCAACTCCAACGTGGCCTTCTTGTTTTCTATGCGCAAGAACTAACATACAATAAACGAATTAAATATATTTTAGCCACCGGGGATTTGCTTTTCAACTAGAAAAAAACACAAAATCAAATACTTCGTGGCAATTAAAGTAGATTATAATCAGATCTTAGCGTTGTTAAATCTTACTTACCAAGCAATAAAATACAGAATATTTTACTATTAGTAAAATATGACATAGATAATACCTTCTTATTTATTACCGCTGAGCTTCACATTCAGACTCAGTAAAAGAAGGCAAATGCCCCTTAAAGACAAAAAGCAATATGAAAGATTGAAGCTTTTCAATGGCGTTTTTACGAAATTTTGCTCCTTTAAAACAGTAAACAGCAACATAACTATCAGCGTTTAAAACACCCAATCACAGAGTTAATTTTAGAGCAAGTTTTCATAATGGCTCGTACGCAAGATGTTAAATGAAGATTGCCAGCAAATATAACACAATACCCCAAAAAAAAAAGTAAAATAATATATAAAAAAAGAAGCCCAATTTAAAAAAAAAAAATCTAAAATCTCACAAAAAAAGTATTTTTTTTAGCTGTAAAGAATCAAATGCAGAGCTCTGAACTTATCCCTTCCATGAAGAAAGAGACGAGCTTTAAAATATGAAACCATCGCAGATTTTTCAAAGGCAACAGAGAACCGAAGATGAAATTCCACCTCGGTTTCGACGGCTGAAAGATCAAGCAGAGATCGACCGCCGCAGCTCTTTTCCTTCAGATGCTCTTCTTCAAAATAATGGAATCTCTTCCTCTTATTGTAAAAGTGTACGAGCCTGAAATAATCTTTAGTAATAATACATAAATATATAAATAATATGTCATCATTGTTTAATAGTATAAAGCAAGACGAAGCGTTGATGATCTGTAAAAGCCTAGCATCGCACTGGTTGATGCAAAAGAATTAGAGGGAGAGAATACGGATGCATTGGAAAAAGGGGCGCTCTAGAGCACCTTAAATTAAACAATGACAAGATCAATTATTTAGTTAGTTTTTTTTTGACCAATAAGAAAAGAAATTAAGATAATAAATAATAATTAGTTAGTTGTTGAGTATAAAATATAAATAATCATGATAAGATTTTCATAAAGAATTATAATTGAGTTTGTACATTTTTATATTGATTATGGAGAAGTATTATTAACATTTGAAAATATTAAAGATGTATTGAGCACTAATTAGTCATTAGCATAGTCCATGTGATCTATTATGACTTCTTCATTAAGCGAGTTTATGACCTAATTAAGTGGGTAATCATTCAATAGTTGGGTTCTACTTCAGTATGCCTACAGTGACATTTACTGGAATCCAAGAAATTAGTTGGCTCATGTTGCCATCGATGTCTCATATGGGTTCCCAATAATTCAAATAAATCATGAATAATCTTATACCAAACTCACTAAATATAGATTAACATGATCTTATTGTTAAGCATAAAAAACTAATGACTTTATGACTTATGCAAGCACATTCAAATCAAATCAATATATAAAAGCCAAGCGTTATCACAATGGCTCTAACTTGGCTAATGTGCACTTGTACTGGCTTGCATGTTTCTAGGCTGACAAAACATGTCCCTAGTGGGTGAACCCAATCTGTTTGAGCTCAATTGGACAAAAATGGCTTTATCTTATCTAGTGTAATTAATTAACTTAGCACATTTTTGGTTGGCAGTCAATTATGATATGTCTTAGTTGAACTAAACTAACCTTAAATGACTAGGAAAGTCCTAATTAGTTTAAATGGGTGCTAATTGACTGCTTAATCCTATTTGACACTATAATTATGCTAGCTTTTTATGACTATTGATTAGTTGTAGCTTAGGTTAGTGTTATCCACCTGAGCCAATCAGGCTTTAATTCTAACAATTAAATACAAATGATTCTTATTAAATTGACTAACCAATTGATTAGCTCAAAAGCTTGACTTGACTAATGTGGGATATGTTTTAGTTAAATAAACTAAATCCATCTTCAAATAGCTGCGACTAGGCCACTTCAGGTTTATTGTGAATCTTAATAAGATTAGGAATTTTAGACCTAAGCCCTTGACCTTATTAAGGTTCAAATCAAACTTAATATCCTCTTATATTAGCATTAATCACCATGATTGGTGCCATAATGAGCTAGAATTGACTAAAATTAGTCCATTAATTTGATCTAACTAGATAAATTGGGAACTAAGAAAAAATTAATTCTCCCTTTTAGTATAAGGGTTGAGTTAATTAGCCTAAGGTAGATTAAATTAACTTTAATAGAGCAAATTATGCACTATCTACATTACAAGAAAGTGGACTTTTTTGGCAGAAATATCCATTAGAAAAAGCTCAAAATTCACTAAAAAAGTTATTTTATGGCCGATCTCCAAGCTAAATTAACCCGAGAGTAAGATGTGCGTAGGAAACACTTTATGGCCTAAATATTTCCATCAAAAATAATTTTTTGGCAAATTTATGATGAATAATCTAAAGGAAATACCAATAAGAAGGAAAGACATTGCAAATGATTTACTGTCGCTATTTTTGGTGGATTATTTTGCTAGAAATTTTGATAAATTGTTTCAGCCTAACTTCTGACAATTCTCCAACAAAAATTTCCTAAGAACTTCTGGCGGTTAACTGGCAAAAGCGTAGAAGGTGAAAATTCTGGCATTATATTCTTAGTTATATGAACATAAAGAAGCATTCTTTTCAGCCTATCTTATTCGTATACTCGCATATTACATCACTAAATATTGCGTAACAATAAATTCACTTAATAAGCATCGAGCACCAATGAATTACTCAAACAACACAACTAACTTTGCTGTAATGAAAGCTCAAATAAAATGGATAAAAACTTCTTTAAATAAAATTTCTTAATTATTACAAAATAAAATTATTAAAAACTACATTTATCAACAAAATTAAAAAAAAACAATCCCTATCTACTCAATTACTCATCATTTGTCCTCTCCTCAGCATCCTGATGCTGATGATGGTGGTATTGCTTCATTAATGCCCACAATTCTTCTTGCATCTGAACTTATTGTGATTGAATATCTGTTTAAATTTGTTGCATCTGTTATAATTCTTTTGTTATGTTAGCCACCATTCTACTGATTAATTTCTCAATCTCGTTGCCATAAACTATGTTGAAATGGATGCCTAAGCCTCATATATATAGGCTTGTAAGCATAATCCATACACTCTCCCATGATGCATCTCTCCAATAGCCTGGGACCATAAATTCTACTGAAAAACTAATGGAGATCTTGCAAGGATCCCTCACTAATAGAAGTATGTGACTATGCATCATGCAATCTCATATAGTCCTTTTGAAATATCTAAATAACTTATAGGTATAATTTCAATGCAAGTCTAATACTTATATAGGCTTTCCTAGATCTCTAATCTACCCACTGTTGATCTTCCTGCATTGATGTGCACGTCCATGTATTTCCAATGGAGTGAGCTCCTGTTCAAGAGTTTAGTTTGTTTTACTTAAGGCATTTCACAAAAAGCTTGTTTCTACAAAAGCCAGATGATTAAATTCTATCTAGTTCATTGGAAACATATAAAGATACTTAGGATAGAAATAATGCTACTCGATGTTTATGCTTAGTATGCGGAATGGAACCATCTGTATGGAGGGAACTCTTGGCATAATCCAAGCTACCCCGAGCTCGATTCAAATCAGGTTAAACACTCTCCACCAATTCAACGAGATCACTTGCCTAACTTCTAATATCTGTAAACATGTCTCACAAGCAAGTCAACCATCTCTTTTTAAAATTCTTTATGATCTTATCACTGTGTTGTGGTAGGCGCCTAAATTTTCTATATGATATAAGAAACAAATTGAGCTGAATCCTAATGAGATCATTTATTAATATTGCAAGACTCAAGAATAATTTGATGAATTTATTGAACAAAGGAAATAAGTTTTCCAACTTGGAATCTAAAAGCCTATATATGGCCAAGTATTTTTCTCAATTAATCAGATAAATATAAATACTTAAAATAATTTTTTGTATAATTATAATTCAAAGCATTAAATATTTAATTATGAGTTTATAATCTTTGGTTATATGGTAATCAAACCCAAATAATTTTTCAATGAATTCTAAAAACCTTCTACACTAAGCTACAACTGTCATTACGTCATCTGCATATTACCTCCTCTAAGTAACTAGCTTAGTGAGATTGTTCTTCATCTTCGTGATTGCTCTAAAATGATTAATTATATACGAACAATTAACAAATTAATAGATAATAGGGATCCGCACAAAATTTATTATAATCAAAATAAATAGCTGGTCATATAAATCAAATGGACTCATGGGTAAATTTATTTTGTAGGAGAGGGGGTGCCTTAAATATGGAGAAATTATTCTGTGTGGATATCGGATCATTCGGAGGCGAGTCAAAACGCGTCACATCATTTGATATACAGCGGATACATATTCAGGGGGGAGCAAAGTGTAGAGATTTTTTTTTTTTTTCCATAAATATCTTTACAACCAAAATTTGTTCCGGGGACGCTGCCCCTCAACCTCTATTTGTTCATATCTTTGATCGTTGTACGCTTCGAAGATATGTTGGGGGTCAAAGGGGACAATGCCCCCTCGCGGGGTTCTAACCCATTTCTTTACTATTTATCTTTGTATTTGTTCATCATTACCTAATAATAACATCTTTACATAACGTGTTTAATTATGTTGGCGCAATTGCCTAAAGATCATAGTATTGTAAAACTTTTGAGGATGGGGGGATTGCCTAAAAACCCTTGTAATAAAGACTAAAAAATAGATGGATGGGGACAAATTACCTAAAGAATCTTATAATAAAATTTTTTTCTTATTTATTTGAGGGGGCTGGTCTTATGGTGGATTTGCCCCTGACCGCGGTACGCAACAAAGAGGTGACGTGACGTGCTCTAATTTGCCTCCGGACGGCGTCCGTATCCGCACAGAATAATTTCACCTAAATATGGGGTATTTGTTGCCTTGGGAAACCGGGATTATATTTGATCTTGAGCTTATGAAAATGATTAGAATTTGCTTATGAAAAAAATTAAGGTTTTCTTTGAGACGATTTTTTTTTATTATTTTATAAAGCTGTTTTTATATAAAACTTTTTTGAAAGCAGAAAAAAAAAATTAGTGAAACTGTCGCAAACGTTATTCTTCAGCCTTTGAAAAAGATTGGATTAAGTACTGAAACGTTAGAAGGACCCAGACAAAATTAGTAATAGAGAAATATGAGCAAGCTCCAATTGAGCATTTGGTGACATCTTTGTTGCCCAACTCTTAAAGTTCATTCGTGATTGTTTAATTAAGCAAATAAGTTTAAATATTTTTTTTTTAATATTTGATGCGTAAAAAGACAATTTTAAACTATTGTGTTCGTCTCATTTATGTTCTTAAACAACATCGTTTAAAGCTTATGAATAAGTTCGATAAAAAACTCAATTCTTATTTAATATAAAACTCATGAATAAGCCATTAAAAACTCTATAATGTTTGATCATAAAAAGATTATAAAAAAGATGAATATACCTAATATAAATATTATATTTATTATAATTTAATGATACAATAATTATTAATTAATAAAGTTTAAACTTAATTAAATATCATAATATATATTATTTAAAGTAAATTATAAATATCTATTAAATCAATATTATGGATAACTTAATTACAAATATTTTAATTTTATAATATTATTTAATTATATTTTAAGAATTTGTTTAATATATATTTATAAACAGCCTTATTTCATAGTTCATGAAACCTCATTTATAGCTCTATAAAACTTGTTTGTTTAAAGTTTAATAAAAAGCTCATTTCTAGCTTAAGTTCGACAAACAAGAAAATAAGCCGAACACGAATTAAACACAAATCACACATGAACATTCATTAATTTAAATGAACTAAACTTGAACATGAACGAAAAAGTTCAAAGAGATCGAACCGACCTTAAACATATTGATAATAAACGAACTTAAATATGATCAAGCATCAACTCAGCTTAACATGCTTCATTTGCAACCCTAACTATGTTGCGCACTAGCAATACAATTAAGCTATCATTAACCAATTTTAACCTACAAAAAGTTTAATTGCATCTGATTTATTCACAGTAATGATCCACTTATGAATATATATCATAATTTAAACAGTGGCATACATTGATGGTGTAGGTTTTCAAGGAATCGCACGTACCTTCAAATTGGATTAATTATTCTGTGCGAATGTCAAATGTCTTTAAAAGATCAATCATAATGTGTCACGTAGCCCCTGTGCTCGGTACTACAGCTCAGTACTACTGATGTGACACATTCTAATTGATTTTCGAACGACGTTCTACGTCCGATCTCCGCACAGAATAATTTCTCTTCAGATTGACATCATAAAAGTGAAGATGCATCAAACAGAACATAAGAATAAGAACGCTGGAATTTTTTAAAAATTTTCACCAACTTGTATGTAACATACAATCCACGGTTACAAAAAGAACCCTCAAGTTTGCAGCCACCCATTTACTAGCACTAATTACACTCCTACAATCTTAACGCAAGCTTCTCTTATTAAAGAGCAAGAATAATCAATGGATAGCGAACGCTCTCAAGCCTGCGCTCCCATGCCGCATTAGTTGAGAATCAAGTTGGGATTTAGGAAAATTGAGGTATTGCTAAGGCCTGTCCAAGCACAGTAGTTGCCAAAAGCTAAACCATTATCATAAAATTAAGAGAAAATGAGGCCAATCTTCTTAGCAAAGTCATCTTCATCTTCCTCAACATCAAGATCTACATCTGTATGTTCCATTTCATCTTCTTCTATCTTGTAATATCCACCTTCCACTGTATCGTAACCATATTCACCATCTTTCTGCTCAGTATAATCTGCCTCTTCTTCATCTTCTATAGCTTTTTTTGCTTCCGTTTCATGGCTTGTTTGTACATCCACAGTGGGAATAAGATTTTCCTCAACTGTTCCAGCCCTGGGTTCTTCAAGATCCCTGACAGCTTTAATTTCCACGACTTTTTTTCTTTCGTTGTTGATACCGGATATTGCATCGTTGTCAGATCCAGCTTCCCTTTTCCTCTTCAGAAGAACGCTTAGCGGCTTAGGGCCTTCAAATTCAATGGAAGCTTCAGAATCTCGAAGCCTTGCGGTCTTCAAAGAACCCGAGGAAGTAGAATGATTATACTTGGTTGATTGGCATTGAGAGTTTCTGTCAGCTTTAGCGCCTTTCAACTCTTCAAGACTTCTTGGACCAGCAAAGTCCACAAGATCCACAGTATCTCTTGTTTTCTGTTGCCTACCCAAGTATCTTGGATTGGCAAAGGATCCCTGGATTGACCTCCAACCTAATCTCTGTCCAAGACTTCCATGGTAACCTGCTGGTCTAACAGGTTGCCTTCCCCTGTGTCTCCCATCTTGCAAATGTAAAGGAATTTCTGGGGAAAGTTGCTTGGGGAGTGTTATTCTACCTGTCAGGCGACTCCTAATAGTGCTTTGTTGATCCTTGTAGGAGTTATGAGCATGGTAATTTTCTTTCGTGTTCTTAGGCTCACGGTAACGAACAGTACTAGTAGCAGAAAAATAACCATCTTGCCTTCTTTGCTTGGTTAGCCGATGACGGAGATCGGATGCATCCATTTCATCAGGACTCTTGCGCCTCCGAGCTGAACTTCTTTCAGTCAATAACGGAGTATCCAAAATCCGCTCGTAAGCAGAAGAAGTCATGTGTTGATCCCATTTATCACCGTTCTGTACCTTGCTATAATGCTGAAACTCACCAACTACATCATGTGGAAACCCATCCAATCTACCTGAAGATTCGTAATCAGAATAATAATGGTCATAATCATCTCCAAGGTTTACACTTCTTCTGTTTTGAATATATCCACTTCTGAAATCATCTCTCTCATGAAAGTAATCAGTATCCCCTGCAACATTATCAACAAGAACATCAAATCCAGGAGAAGAATCTCTGAAGACCTCCTCAGCAGCCTGGCCGTTCTGGTAGTGATCACCTGGAGACTGAACTTGATGATTTAGGGGGCTCTCCAGTTCAGTGTAGTCAACTCCAGAAGGAACCTCAAAAACATCACCACCATCCCCACCATGCAAAAGATGCCCATCAGGCTGAACATGAAGATTCTGAGATGAAGAATAACTGCTGCTACTTCTAACAGGGTCATAAGTTGTCTGGGATCTAGCAAGCCCATTTGTGGGTTGCACCAGGACTGGAATGCTTTTATTCACCAAATGACTATTAGCATTCTCGATGGCCCGAACGCCTATTCCTGATGAAGGTACTCCATTAATTAGCACATCAGCACTCTCCTTGCCAACGTTTAATGCAGAAGAAAAGTTCTGCCGATTGCTACTGTCCTTCTTTTTCCAAGCATCCTTCTCAGGTGTTTCTAATTGAGCGGTGAATTGTGCAGAAACCTTTGCATTCTGCTTTGCTACTGGATTACCAACAGAGACTGGTCCGTGCATGAACGGACACTTGTCACCTTTCAAACAGGCACCCTTTACGTAGTAATGGCAGGGAACATTGTTTCTGCTTAAATTATAAGTAAAAGGATTCGCCATTGGCAACTGCCCGGATGAAGATATTTGTGAAGACGCAACGATTTTCGCTGAAGTAGTCTTAGGACTTAGAACCATTCCATCAAGTGGCTGCAAAAAGAAAATTAATGAATATGTTATATGAAGGCAATCAATCAAACACACTATGACTATATAAACTAGCAGCTTCATTCTTTAGGTTGATGTGATCTTTTAGTCACACAAAAATTGAGTTTCTTGATTGTGACATACTAGGGTGGTAAAGAAAGAAAGAAACGCAGCTTCCAACTTATAATTTAGATTTATGCATATTTTCCTTAGTAAATGCATATATTATGACATTGATGAAACTTAGAACCAAACTAACCGGATGACGGAATAAGCATTTTGGATTCAAGCAGTTGCCGCTTAACCAGAATCTGCAGTCCCTGGGGTTAAGCCTGGCACCCTCGCTGTGGCGATACTCGCATTCACTTCCCTATATGAAACAAAATTTTAATTACCACATGTTTAGAAAAATCTGAACAGATAAAGCAATGCAGGAGTGTAAAAAACATTGGCATAACAGCAAAATTTGGATGGCAAACTCTAAAAAGAATGATATTATCCGCATACTAGATGAACTTGCGAAAACAAAAGCCCAACTAAAGCCTAGTCAGTAACTTAGTGATAACATTAGAAAGACAGGTTATTGAAATATGACAAATATACTGTCAATTGGGTAAAAGCCCAGCTAAGTCACCAAGTTCATAAAAACTCAGCTTTTATTAAAAATTCACTGCAATTAAATCAACAATTTGGATGATACAATTTATTACGAAATAATGGAGGAACAGAAGAATTATATTAAATGGCTGAATTTTAAAGTTTAGAAAGAAATAAAGTCAAACAGGGAAAAAAGAAAGAGAATGGAATGTAAATATTTTATCTATTCCAAAATGGCCAAGTTTAACCAGGCCATAATATATTCGAATCCCCTTTTTCAGTCCTTTTTACTGTATTTATAATTATGGTTGAATTTATCATAAAATTTAATTTGAATTATTTTACTCAGGTTTTATCTTCGTTCAAACAAGAATAAATTAAAATTAGAACATGTGTTTGCTTTGGATAGAATTATAATTGCATTGAAAACTTTGGTATTATCCCTATAATCCTACTTCTATAAATAAGGATCATGATGTATATATTAATAATTGATTATTACAACAACATCAAACATTTATCCCACTACGTGGGGCTGGCTACATGAATCCTTTTTCTCCATGGTGTCCAGTTAAGAGTCAAATTCTCATTTAAATCTTATAAAGAAATGTCATTTCTAATATTTTCTAACCAAGTCTTCTTAGGTCTACCTCTACCTTTCTTAAGATAGGTCAAATCTAATATATCTACTCTCCTAACAGGGTCATCGGAAGGCCGCTGTTTTACATGACCAAACCATCTAAGGCGAATCTCTCTAATCTTATCTGTCACGGGAGCTACTCCAACCTTTTCACGAATATGCTCGTTTTTTATCTTGTCTCTTAAGAGTAAATTCACTCATCCACCTAAGCATCCTCATCTCAGCAACACTTAACTTAATATTATGCTTCTCTTTTAATGGCCAACATTATGCGCCATAAAGCATTGCATGTCTCATACTCTCATCACCATCTTATAAAATTTTCCTTTAAGTTTGAGTAGTACTTTTCTATCACACAACAAACCCGGAGCATTCCTCCACTTCAACCATCCAACTTGAATTCTACTAATAATATCCCCATGTATTTTACCATCACTCTGAACAATAAACCCAAGATATCTAAAACGAGTACACTTATTAATGACGTGATTGCTCAAAGTCACAAACCTCTTACTAGATCTATTGCTACTAAAATTACACTCCATGTATTCGGTTTTAGATCTACTCAAATGAAAACCTTTAGACTCGAAAGTTGACCTCCATAATTCAATTTACCTCCAACCCCCTCTCCAGTCTTATCGACAAGAAGAATATCATCAATCGAAAAGCATACACTAACATTCTCTTGCAAATGCCTAGTAAGATCATCCATGACTAAAGCAAAAGGCTTAAGGCTGATCCTTGATATAATCCGATTGAAATAGGAAAATACTTGGTCAAATCATCTTTTATTTGAACACAAGTAGCAGCTCCTACATACAAATCCCTAATAACTTGAAGGTAAGCATTATAAACCCCTTTCTTTTTTGCATATGATATTTATCGATATAGAGAAAGCATATGAAACAATTGATGATTAAATGAATGAAATTATTTTTCATTGGTAGAGTGCTCTCTAAATCCAAAATGTATACATAGATCACTCCAAATTGGCAAAGTTATTCTCTTCCCCTTCTCCATCAATTTTTGGTATCAAAGCCCTAAACATACATGATCCCAAAAAATCTAACCTTAACTAAACTCAAATCCAGCATACATCCCACCTAAAATTTGACGAGCAGAGTCTGCCTCTCATCTTTTAAGCAACACATATGAGCCCTACATATTCATCTATTGTTTTGTGCACGTGACTTCGCATCCTGCATGTGACTTCACATCATGCATGTGACTTCGCATCATGCATGTGTATTGACATTCACAATCATCATGAGCATCCATTAGACACATAGTCCTCGTTGTGACCCTCACAGTTCTAAGCACTATTGTTATACATGCTCCTCCTCGCTATGATTCACAAGTTCTCGGTCGTCTCTTTGCTCTTTTATGCCCTTCGAAAAAGATTGTGTTGGCATAACAAACAGTATATTAACACTCACACCTATACCACTACCGCAGCATCTGAAACATACACGCAGCCCTAGTACTGCAATCCATGCACCTCCTCTCCCATGACCTGCACACACTCGCTTCCAACTCAACACCCACAATATGTTGCAGTGTTGCACGGCACTAGGCCACATTTCTCCTCTTAACTTCCCAAACTGCAACACTTCAATATGCTCCTTCCACAATGAAAGCAACTTTATAACAACACCACACCATCCTCATCGATATCCCATTCAGTCAAGCACAAACTTCAACAAATCTTGATTTTATACTTCAAATAGTTGCATGGAATAGATTGCGATTGCAATTAACTCATCATCAACCATCGCGACTACAACAACTTTAAGGAGATATTATACTTGCAATGGAAATCATAACTTATGGTGTTTCACCGTCCTATGACAAGAAATTGATTTCGGGCATCTTCAAATACAATACTAACAATACTAAAGAGTTCAGATATGTAATCATTGAGTCTAATTCTTGTGTGCATAAGAGAACATGTGATATATTTTCTTTTTGTTTATTTTGCATTTTTATTTTTTTTTACCTTTGTGTGTTATCGGCCATTAAAGTCCTATTGAGTCATTATGTTTGTATTAGTGTCTCGAGAAATTTAGGTTTTATATAAGTAGAAATGGTGAAATCTAAGCTGAATCATGACCATCTACCACTCTTTTAGTATATTTTAACATAAGGTAACTAGTTTCTGCTTATTCAGACGGAGAAAGGAGAAAATAAGCCTAATCAAACAAGGCCTTAGTATATTTTAACATAATATGACTGCTGTTTGACCTTCACCTCACTAGTTGACCAGCACATAAATTTTTTTTCCATAACATCTTATCACGTACAGCACTTTCTCTATCTCATGTAGCTTGGATACCCCTTCTCTCTCTCCTCTCCCTTTATCTATAACAAACTCTTTGAATTCCACCCTACATATTAAGCCTTTGGCCATGAGACTTCATATAAACCCTAGTGAATCTATAAATGACTCTTCAAAATCTGAAGGCCTTCATTTAGCTCCCCTTTCCCAAGCATGGTCAAAAAATCAATGACACTTTTATAAGTTTCTTTTGTCACCCTTATGCACATGATCCATTGTATATAGTATGATTACATTATGTGGATTTGAACTTTGAAGCTTAGCTATTATTTTCCAATTTTGAGTCTAGCTTGTTGTGCGCTTTATCCACCTAACAGGAATTTTGGTGTGATACCATAAAACCACTTAGAGGGCATCCTCAAAAAGAAGGATGTCAACACGATGAAAGATTTTAGAAATTGAATCTATGAATATTTCATGCATGAAATTTTCGCTCATTAAAGTTTTCAATTTTGTGTTTTTTTATGATAGCCGACCCCACGTAGTGGGATAAAGGCTTGATGATGTTGTTGTGTTTTGTATGACAAATAAATTGCATTATTGAGTTTGACTAATTGAAACTATTTAGATAGGCCTGATTACGCCAAAAATAGACATCATGCAGAGCTAGTTTAAAAAAATGTATATATATATATATACACACACACACATATCCATTAAGTCATTCCTAAATATTTAACTTTATCTCCCATTCAAATCTTTAAAAAAAAAGCATAATAATTCTTAGTTTAAAACACAAGCATTCCAAGCCGGCTTTAAAGAAAAACTTTTTAGCAAGTTTTATAATCTTTCTATGGGTTTTTTTCCCTAACAAAGTTTTATTATTTCATTTCCAAACAAATAATAATATCCATGTTTCTATCTTCTTCACAAGTAGAATTATCCAGTGCCTTTTTTTTTCAAATATACAATCTGAAAGCTTCTCCTACAGTTACACAAGTCTCTAACATCCCAAGCCAACATGCCTTAAATCTCAATACTACAGCTCTCTACACCAGTCGAGGGATTCATACGCTATAAATTGACCACTTCTAACTCTCATTTTCCTAATAAAACCAAGTCAACCATTTCACGCCAAAAGCTTTCCACAAAACCATCTCCAAAGCTCCAATAAAGACAATTCATCTCACAACCTCTCTATTCTCAAGAATACATCAAGGCACACGCCTCTCCAAGGTTCTCTACAGGAGTCCTCGGCCTAACTCTTCACGAACAAAAACCAACTCCAAACCTTAATCCTCCAACTCATATAAAATAAGCAAAAAATCTTTCTAGCAAACGAAGTCAATACATCACCATACAACAAATGAAAAAAGCACATCCATATACTCAATAAGCAACCGCCCCACATTACCTGGTTGTCCAAAGATTTTGGCTCTTTAACTTCCTGTGTTTTGCAAATCCAACAAGAGGGAAGACATCAGAATAAGGGTGTAAACGAGTCGAGTCGAGCTCGAGTTAGTGGGTGTTCGAGCTTGACTCATCAATTAAATGCTGAGCTCGAACTCAAGCTCGAGCTCGAGTCGAGCTGAACTCGACTCGCGACACAGAAAATAGCTCCTCGAGCCACTCGATTTCAATTTTCAGCCAGTGATTCGGAGTTTCCCGCCTGGCATTTGCAGTTCCTGCCTGGTTTCTCGGACAGGGCTAGCGGCAGTGCAGGCGCTTGAGTAATTGCTTTTTCCCGTAATCTCGTGGATAAAAAACGGTGACTTAGCTTTTTTTGTATAAAGCATTGGAAACAGGCATAATCCTATGGATAAAAACATCAACTTCTCTTGTATAAACATTGGAAAATGTAGCTGCACTATATTTTATTTTAGTTTTTGAAAAAGTTCAACCGTCAATTTTTTTAAGATTTAACCTTAATAAAAATAATAGTTACTTAATTTTAAAAAACCTAAATTTAATAAAAATTGTAATTACTTAATTTTTAAAAAACATAAAAAAATTTCGAGCCGGCTCGCGAGCTCACGAGCCGAGCCTCATCAAGCTCGAACTCGAGCTTGTTTACTAAACGAGCTCAAGCTCGAGCTCGATAAGCTGGGCCGCGAGCCCATAAACAAGTCGAGCTCAAGCCGGCTCGCGAGCCAGCTCGACTCACTTACACCCCTACCAGAGAAGATGTGCCAGCAGGCGTACATGTTTTATTGATGATTTCATCTTATGGAAGAAAGGAAAGTAACTATTTGTTTATCATCTTGTTAGATAAATTCAGTCAATCAATGTAAAAAACTTTAAAAACAATGGTTAGGCGTATGAAAATAAAAAAATGTTTGCTTAACTACTTAAGTTGGATTATTGAGTTGATGTGTTGCTGAAAGTACTAATTAGAGGAATACATAACAAAAAATGCACATCAACATATTATGTGCATGTCAAGCACACATACACATCATCATTATCATTATGTGTATGAGCACATGTACACAACACCATTATCATCACCATACTATGTTCATGTTCCACACATAGGCATCACTATTATCCAGGTGAAATGTATATCAAACACATCACTATTACCACCCCCATGTCATGTGTATGTCCATGACACATGTACATCATTATTATCACCAGCTTGTTCAGTGCATGCTCATTAGATACACATCATATTACACATATCATCTTATGTGTATGTCGACCACACATACACATCATATCACATCATGCAAAATTAAGCATGTGTCATTACACAACTCCCATAAGAACCAAGGGTTTCTATCACTTTGCCATTGGAAAACTTCATCTATTTTCTTGAGAACTATGCTCCAATCATTAGTTCATGCTGACAATCTCTTATAAGGCATGAATCGTCAGGCAAAATCAAAATCAATCACATATGATATACGAGTAGGACTGAAGAAAACCAAAGAGGAAGATTACAATTTTTATTATTCTTACTTCCACTGACTACAACTAGATTTTATATAGAAAGAAACAACAGTCAAAACAGGAAAAATAAAATGCAATCAACATATATTTAGAGGGGAATCTAGGAATAAACAAAGAACTCTTGACTGCATTATTTACTCCCCTTTCTAGTAAAATTCGGAGAACCCCACAAGTTAGCACATCTGCCTTCTAGGAAATATTTGATTTTATTCCACTTCAAGACTAAGAACACTTTGAAAATTTTCCAACAAGGATTACGCTCTCTATAAACCTCTAAACTCATACTATTATGCCATATTGAGGTCAAAAATTTCGAAAAATGTCAACTCTATTTTCCAAAAAATGTTTCAATCCTAAGCATTCAAATTTGATGAAAAATATGCGGATATAATTGTTATGATGTGATATGTCATTGGTTAGCTCCGATATATGTTCGAGGCAATGAACTGTGCAGAACAAAATGGAGCTCAAGTTATGATGAATGTAATAAAAAAACTAGGCCTTTATCGATACAGCTGGTGCAATTAAGAACATATTTACTGATGCTTATATAAATCTAAATATAGGGTATATTGTTGCAAAGCCTAGCCACATTTTGTTAGTTCTTGGATGCCTGAGTGCATAGTCCAACTACAAATAGTCATTGAGTGATGTGAGGTATTATTTGCTTACTTCTTCATTTCCCTGCTTGCTTGTTTATCGTTTTCATATTAATTATTCTACGATGGGCTGGGCACCTAATATTCACATCATTAGTCTTAAGGTCTATTTAGGACTATTGCAACTTTTTGTAAAGGGGGTTATAAAGCCATTGTGAGGAAAGTAATTTTTTTGAAAGCTAATGTGGATATTATATATATATATGGAAAAAATCCAACTGCTGCTTTCCTATAACAACTACACATTAACAAATTTGGTTGTAAGCAGCAGAAACCCACCATAAAAAATTTTGAAAAGCAACGAGAAAGTAACAAGAAGGTAATGTTCAAATGAAACTTTAGCTGAATTTTCAAAGGCAAAGCATTGAGAAAGATACCCCAAACAGACACTTGGGTTAAACTTATCAAAATTAAAATTATTGAGATCATCTTCTTCAAAATGAAAGGAAAAAACCAAAACTGAAAGATGCCACCAGTTTTTGTTCCAAGCATAGAAACAAATCAACACATGCAGAACTAAGCAAAAGAAACGACAAGGTTCAAACAAAATTTTGTAGAGATTGCAATGCAAAAGATAGACCATTAAAATCCAGACTCTGAAGCATGAACAATGGTCATAGCAAACGTGGAATAATGGACATAAGGTGGAAAACTAAGATGATCGGTTGGAGTTAAAACAGACAAACTCTTCAGCAAAATATCAAGGAAAGCACCATTTGTAACTAGAATATAACTTTACTCTTATCACGTAGCAACCACCATAACATTGTAATGGTTTTTATATATTTCCTAGCAATACTTCCTAAAAAACCACTAAATTTAAACAAGCATAAATCATTAAATGTCTACAATTAAATCGCTACTTACTTTCCAATTCTGTCATCGCTGTAATGAGAAATCAGAGAACACGCAACAAAATATAAATACCCCAAACAGCCAATGATTTCAAATCCCTGACGTTTTCCGAGCAAATCTCATAATCTCAAATCAATCCAAAAGAACAAGTGAAAGAAATCCCTATATCTCACCCCACAAAACGCTTCCAAACCAATCCCACAACAGAATGAAAGTAGAACAACTTGAGAAACAAAACCCTAACAACAGGCCACACCTCTACTGACATCCCCAAATTCATTAACAACAAATCATCGAAATAAGAATCCCAGTACACATACCTATTTCATGAACTCTTCAAAAAAAAAATTGAAAATAAAGGGAAACGGGGAAACAGACGAGAATAAGAGCGATTTGAACGAAAAAAAAAAAATTACCTTCTTGCATGTCAACGGAGAGGCAAGGAAGTAGACGCAGTCAGTATTCTGCTTGATAGCCTCCTCTTCCACCGTCAGGGATCGGTTATCGTTCCGTCCGGAGCTGCAATCCATGCCCGCACCTAGTCGCTGACGATCTAGAAGAATGCAGATCTGGCGCCGCCTGGCCGTTTGAAAGAGAGCTGAATCAAAACGAAATTCCTAGGGTTTGTGCTTCTGTTGCGGCAGCGGCAGCATCGACTGTCGAAGCCCTATAATCTACCATGGCGATCGAAGAATGATAGATGCAATAGAAGAAGCGGAGAGGAATAAAAGAGGAGAAATAAAAAATGGAGGCAGGTATCTGTCTACGGACCGAAAAAGTTGTGCCCGCTTCTCCGTGTACATTATTTACCTAAGAAGTTCAATAACTTCAAAAAATTCAAAACTAAATAGTTAAGGATATATATATATATATATATATATATAATTTATTACTTATCAAAAATCAATCGACCTGGACGGTTCCCAGAACTATTCTCAGGACGATATTTTGAACAGTACAGATCGTCCTAGACGATCTCAATATCGTCCCGGACGATCTTGAGAGGAAAATCCAAGTCAGAGAGGAACAGTAAGGGAACGAGGTCTCACAAATATTTTGGGCAAAAAAAATAATAGTCTCAATATCAAGAGATTGAAATGTCTAACCTCATGAATATTGTTGGATCTAAATATGTCCCTGGAAGATACCAGACCTTAATAGCAGGCTGAACCTATGAGCAACAAGTGAGACGAGTAACCTAAGGCCTATGAGAATGGAGAGTGTAGAGAAAGTACAACATCATTTATAGAATGCTCAAGAAAGCTATAAATTTTAAACTAGCAGAATGTCTATTAAAATCAGTTAAAAGTCTCTCTAAAAGAGTCTAAAAGTAAAAGTCACAAACTATTTCTCATCACCTCTCATTTATAGGGTTCTAAGAGCTATAGATAAGGTTGCACAAAGAAGAAGTAAAAGGTATAATGCTACACATTACACTCATACAATGCAACACACTGCATTAGACATGTCTCTTCCTATTTAGCTCAAGGAGGGCAAGGTCGACAAAGCTCTGCAAATTATCTTCTAGGTGAGTTTAGTAGTGTCGAGTAGGCTTTGGTGAGTATGTGGGCAAGTGTTAAGGTGAGTGGACTTGCAACTAGCGAACTTGCTAATGTTGCTGGGGATTTCTATGGTAGTTCTTGAATCGCTTGAGGAGAGAGAGGCGAGTGAGATGCCATCACATGAAGGGATAGCTTAATATTGGATGGTCACAACATGATGAGCTGAAGGTCTCACAAGCAAGCACTTTTATGCAGCTGAGCTTGCATTTGGATGTTTGTTTTAGAAGTGAGCGAGTGACTGGGATGGTGGTCCACATATATGGCAAGTATTGAGTTGCTAGCTTAAAGAGGTAACCCCAATTCACCCAGTACGGGCGAGTAACAGTCGTTGATCGTATTTGGCGATTCTCCTATGAGTTTGTGACGAGTTCTCCAAGTGGGCCCCCTCTTGAGGGCAAGTTCCTCTATCATAGCCCTCCAGCTATCTGCTAAACACTCTTGAAGGCATATGCAAGTATAAAAATATTATATGAGTGCATATCAAATTAAAATTTATTTTCGATCTCTTTGTTTTGCACTTGTGTTTTTTTTTTTTTTTTTTTTTTTTTTTTTTTTTTTTTTTTTTTTTTTTGCATCATTTTAGAATTATTGTATAAAAATTATATTTTTATTATTTGTTGATGCCATTTGTAGTGGCCAAAGTTTTTGAATTACTTCAAAAGAAGGCATCTTAGAGTATTGTTAAGTGTTATCTTAAAGACAGTATAATTATTCATAGTGAAAGTAAGATACTCTTTGTATGTGATGTGGGTTTGATGTTTTATCCACTAACTTCATGGCAAATGAGTGATGTTTTGGTTGCAAGCTGGATAGTTTAATTCTAGTTTGGTAGGGGATTAGGCATAAATGTAGGCCATTTGAGAGGCCGAGCCATAAATATTGTAAGGTCTCAATTACTCTATAAATCTAGATTTGCATATTTTGTGCACTTACTTAAGCTTTATATTTCTATGGTGATGAAATCATATGTTATTACTTTGGTTATTGTGTTAATTATTTAATTGCTATTAGATCTTGTATCATATTGTAGTTACAATCATAATGTTTGTATTTTGGACAATTTATGTTCTTCTTACATAATTATAAACTACTAAATCAAGTGGTGCATACCCTCCTTATTACTTATACGTGCTTACACTAGTTCTTTGGGATAGCTTATCAAAGGCTAGTCGTCTCTTTGTAAAAAGAGCATCACCTAACACCATATAAAAGATCCTTATTATTAAGATTGAACTTATGTTGGAAATGAGTGATCCTTCCTCATCTTCCTCTTCTCATCCTACTCCCCACATACTGCATCTTCCTTCACTAACTGCATTTCCTTGGGCATTTTCTTTATAAGATATGTTTGTGCTCATCCTTATTGTGCCATAGATATAAGCTACAAAGTCGAACCACATACATCATTTTCGTTGCATGTCTTCCTCTATTTATTCTCTCTTTCAACCATGGATGTTTCATCTCTCATCTAAGCTCCACCAACACATACTCCAAGAGCTAGTTGTTATCCTTAGCTCTTCAATTTCTTCTCCCAAGTCAAAAAGTAACTTTTTTCAAAGGATCAACCCTAACCAATGCATCATTTCACCTCAAGTGCTACAACCTCTCCCTTGCTGGACACATGGATCCATCCTAATGATGGTCCATTTTTCATCATTCATGCTCACATTTAAAGAATGTAAGATCATACGAGTCATAAATTTATCCCATGGAGCATACATTCCTTTAAAGACTTACTAATTCAATGATTACTTAATTTGATGTTCCATATATTGAATTTCTATGGTATTTGGCTTTATGAGATTAAGCATTTGTAATTGAAGAGTAAAGGTTTCTTTCAATTTCAATAATTTCACCTCATCAAATCCAACATTTTAAGAAATAACAAAATCATTTTCTTTGGCTTATTAAGCATATAATTTTTATACACTTTAATGTATTCAATTAAGATATCTATTTTCTCCTTCTCATAAAATTTTTCTATGTTGAGATGGAATAAGAATTCAAGCAAACCATTCATTTTTTTTGCTTTTTTAGTGCTTACCTATGGCTTTTGCCCATACTAAACTTCCTAAGGTGTCATATCCTAACATATATTTGTAGAAGATTGGATGAGAATCAAAATGGTTACATTTACATCTTGAGACCAACGTTGATTTGGAAGATTTGTACTATTTAATATGCACAAAATTTGTATAATTGTATGATTCTTGTGCTTTATATAACCGCATATTATTTCGATCTATGATTTATAATAAGTTATCTTTTTATGTCCTATTCTATTTAAGAATTATTCAAGAGAGTGGAGGGGAACTCTTTGACTAATCTTCAAAATCTTTATTTGATTGTCACTTTATCTTTTAACATAGACTTTGAATTAAAAAAAGGTGAAATTTATTTTGATATTGGCTTCAAAGAAATTAAATTAGGGTTTTAAAAACTTTCTTTTTTGATATTTTCAAAGAAATTAAATCACAAAATGCGGAAGCTAATAAATGGAATAACAGACATAATGATGATGGTAATTCAATCGAATCAATCTACTACCAACCACAACATTCTCAACATGAATTTTTCAAGAAAAATAAATTTGTAGAAAATTAAAATGCAAAAATAAAAGTAGAACGAGCACACCATAATTTTATAGTGGTTCGCCCAACCTTGAGCTATATCCACTCCTTGAAATCCTCCTCTCCGAGTATTGTACTAAAAACTATAGTGTCTCTCATTTGCCCCCACAGCTAAGCAGAGAAGTCCTTACAATCTTTTCACCAACCCAATGCGATAGAGAACCTTGACTCATTTTTCACCCTTCTGATTACAACAGAGAACCTAGCACTCATTTTTTCAAATTGGACAAGACCTATGGTTTTCCCGTCTTTTTTGGATTTCTAAGTAAAAAATTTTGGTGTCTCTATGAACATGGCACCTCTCTTATCTGTTTGTGTGCTGGATATTTGTACAAAGCTAGGTCGATCAGTTGGAGTCTTATCATATCATTTGTAGCATCAATAGGTTATCTCAACGAAACATTCATTTGTATTATAAGTTTGCAAAAACTAAAGTTCTGATAATCCTAAATTTAATTATGAGGATTTTCAATTCAAATATTGCCCCATTATTAAAGTTGTTATGAATATTTGACAAAAGTTGTTATGAATATTTGACAAAAGTTGTTATGAATATTCCCAAATCATATCAATAATTGACAAAAGTTGAGCTAGATTTTACAGAAATTCCATCTAAAGTAGGATAACAAATATTCCTTTTATAATTTTTTTAGAGAATTTTTTTTTAAGTGTTCGATTTTTAAAAGGATGCTGCTTTATTGAATGTGGATTCTGTGAGAACTCTTGTTTCACAAAATAAAAATAATAATAAGAGTGAAAGATTTATAGCCTATTTATTAGAGGAAAATATCAATAACTCTAGTTTTAAAGCCAGTTCGAGCTGGGCTTTAAACTGCAAGTTGACTTACCTTTAATTGAGGCATTTTTGCACCATTTTTTTTTTTGCCAGTTTTAACTTTTAACAGTAAACCTCTGTCATTTTGGGGAAATTATTCTGTGCGGATGCCGAACGCCGTCCAGAGACCAACTAGAATGTGTCACGTCACCCCTGCTCGGTACCAGGCTTGATACTCCTCGGTATAGCTGACGTAGCGCATTATGGTTGGTCTCCGGACGGTAAATTATGTTCGGCATCCGCACATAATAATCTCTCGTCATTTTGAGGCATGAGACAGCAATTTGCATGAAGTTATTACGCCATAATCCAGCCTGCAATTGTGAGAAATTATTCTGTGTGAGAAATTATTCTTAGCAGAGTCCATAGCTCGAGTCCATATTCTAATCAAAATAGATCACATCATATGCACACAACCCGCGCACAATCTTGTACACAGTGTACACGGGTGTGTATATTAAAGGTTTGTATAACACACACCCTGTGTAAAGACGACGTGACCATTTTTGGACTATGCACTTTAAAAAATGCATTTTTTTATACGAATTACCTATAACCTTATAGAAAATAAAAGAAAGAAAAAAAAATGTCAGATCAACAAAATTCAGATATTTCTTAAACATTTTTCTATTTACTGATCACATTGAAGAACGCACGACAATTGTATGATAAGCCCATCTTCATGGATGATTCTTTTTTCTTATTTTGCTTGGCCTACTTTCTTGAAAACATTCAGCGTTAGAAATGCATATAGGGAAGAACACATGAACATTTCGAATCCACCAGGCAAAAAAAAAAGCTAACAGCAAAGCTCATATTAAGAAATAGGCCTACAACTGAATGTGTTTACTGTCAACAAAGAAAAATATAGAACAAAACCCAAAAAAATTGGTGTTAAGAGGAGACAAAACTTACGATAGGGCCAACATATACGTTTCCCATGGTGTGTTAGTACGAGTTAGTTCTACTGTAGAACAAGATCTTGTACGAATGAAAGAATTTTTTGATTATGAAGCTTTCTGCACTTCGTATGAAGCAAATCCAAGAATTTTTCTGAACCATTTTCTTGCGTATGGACGGCTTGCGTTGGAAGAGAAGGCAATTTACCGTTGTAGAAGAACTGGTATGAGTCAGTTGATTGGTTGATATAGTTTGATTCCGCGTTTGGGTGGTAGCGTTCTCAAAACGTAGAGGACTATAGCAGCAGGGAGAATCTCCACCAGCTATAAATCATGAACAAAAGTTAGTCATAACTGACTGCTAAACGAGTATTTAGATTTATTTTTCATGATTTATTCTAAGTGTTGTAAATAATAAATGTTGTTGTGCAAAAAGAAGAAAGAGGGAGAGAAGAAGAGAGAGAATGGGAAGAGAATTTGTGGTTTAGACATTAATTTATTAATTCTCTCTCTCCTATCTCTCTATACAACAACATCAAGTATTTGACTTCATTTGGTTTAATGCTTGTGCTGCAGCTTTTTTTGATTTTTTTTTTTTTGGTAAAAACATCAAAAGATCAGCTGCCAAAAGCTATACCAAACAAAGCCTTTTTCTCACTATGGGTCGGCTACATGACTCATTTATCTATCTCTCTATCTCTTATACTATTCGATTCAATAAGTAATATCTTGTTGTTGCATCCTAGAATATTCGCGATGGTAGAGAAATATAAAATTTAATGTCTTAGTTTTGTACGAAGATCCAACACACTTGCAGATAAAAGAAAAGGTGTAACATTCATAAGAGACATGAGTTTTTAGGTGAAAACCTTTGGAAAGGGGGGAAAACCACAGGGCATGGCTCAGTTTGAATGAATCCACTAATATTTGCAGTCGATTACAAATGAGGCCCTTCCTTGGGGGAAAGGTCATGGGTTGATGTAGCAAATGTCTATCATATTACATGGTGGGAATTGGAAGAATTAGTATTAAAATGTTCGTTTAGTTGGCAAAACCATAGTCGGTGAGCGACGGAGATTGGAAAGATCGTAGTCTGCTGACAGTGGTCGGAAGGACAGTTGTCTGGCGAGGGAGGTTGGAAGGATCGCAGTCGACGGGACACGGTGGTCAGAAAGACCGTTGTTTAGTGATGGAGGTCGGATGGATCGTAGTCGGCGGGAGACAGAGGTCAGAAAGCCCGTTGTCTGACGAGGGAGGTCGGAAGTACTGTAGTTGGCTGAAGACAGTGGTCAGAAAAATCGTTATTTGGCGATGGAGACCAGAAGGATCGTAGTAGGTGACGGAGGTCGGAAAAACTATAGTCGGCAGGAGACAAGGGTCAAAAAGATACTTGTTTGACAATGGAGGTCAGAAGGCCCATAGTAGGCGAGGGAGGTCGGAAGAACCATAGTTGGCAGGAAAAAGTGGTCAGAAAAATTGTTATCTGGTGAAGTAGGTCGAAAGGACCCTAGTAGGTGATGGAGGTCGGAAAGACTATAGTCAGTAGGAAATAAGGGCCAGAAAGACCGTTGTTTGGCGATGGAGGTCGGAAGGACCTTAGTAAGCGACGGAGGTCGGAAGGATAGTAGTCGGCAGGAGATAGGGGTCAAAAAGATCGTTATCTGGCGATGGATGTTTGAAGGACCATAGTCGGCAGCAGATAGGTGTCAGAAAGACCGTTATCTAGCGATTGAGGTTGGAAGGACAGTAGTCAGTGAGAGACAGTGGACAAAAAGATGGTTGTCTGGCGAGGGATGTCAGAATGACCATAGTTGGCAGCGGAGATCGGAAGAACCATAATTGGTAGGAGATTTGAGTCAGAAAGATTATTATCTGATGATGGAGGTCGGAAGGATCGCAGTAGGTGACGGTGTTCGGGTCGACCGTAGTCGGCAAGAGACAGTGGTCAGAAAGATCATTATCTAGCAATGGAGTTCGGAAGGACCGTAATACGGGATGAAGGTCGTAATGACCATAGTCGGTAGGAGACAGGGGTTAGAAAGAATGTTTTCTGGCGATGGAGGTCGAAAGGATCGTAGTAGGCGACGGAGGTCGGAAGGACCAAAGTCGACAAGAGACAACAATAAAAAAGACCATTATTTGCGATGGAGGTCGGAATGACTGTAATATGTGACAGAGGTCGAAAGGACCAAAGTTGGCAGGAGATAGGGGTCAAAAAGACTGTTATCTGACGATGGAGGTATGAAGGACCATAGCAGGATACGAAGGTCGCAAGGATCGTAGTGGCATGAGACAGGGGTCAGAAAGATCGTTGTCTGACGATGGAGGTCGGAATGATCGTAGTAGGCCATGGAGGTCGGAAGGACCAAAGTCGATAATACATAGGGGTCAAAAAGACTGTAATTGTAAGGCAGTGGTCCGGCGGAAGTTTCGGCATTATCCGGTGGTCTGGCGGAACTCCGAATTCTGCTGATGGTGTGGCGAAAGTTCGAGCCTCAATCGGTGGTCTAGCGGTGGCTTGATGAAACTCTGGTGTCTTGCAGTGGTCTGACAAAACTCCGGCGTCGGGTGGTGGTTCGAAAGAACTCCAAAGTCAGGTGGTGATCTAGCGGAAGTCCGGGCGGTGGTCTAGGAGGAGCGAAGAGGCAAGAGCGATCTCCGATCTTTCTCTAGATTCGCTTTGGGGTCCCTTTTCATGAGAAAGGGAGGCTCTATTTATAGATTTTATAGAGTGGCATGGCTTGTAAATAGATGGAAGATCAGGGCTAAGTTGGAGTGGTTTGGATGGACAACCGATGTTGATTCCCTTGATCATAGACCGTTTACATGGACATTTAAATGACTTAGTGATTTCATAATTCAGTGATCTTGGGCTTGTTGGATTTCTCTCGTCGATTCACTTGATTCAACTATAAGCATGTCACGTTTGAAAATTATTTAGAAATCCAAATTATGGTTTGAACCTTCCAATAACGCTTCGAGTCCTTGATTTGAACTCATTTGGTCTCGGATTTAGTCGATTTTGGTGTTGTTGGGTTCTTAATTCCGAGACGCTCAGTTTGACTATAAGTTTGCTGAAATCGGAGTTCGGATGGTCCCAATTTTAATTTTGAAAGTTTCTAACTTGATTTTGCCTTGAGATTCATGTCCGATCAAGATGATTTTTCGATGAAGTATCACTTCTTAATATTCTTTTGTTCCATAAGATAATCCTTACTATTTATTAAAGCTAATTTGAGATTAATAATAAGTTTAAAAATGACATTAAGCTAGCTTTCTTACTATTCAACTGCAAAAGTTTTTTATTAATTATATTTTAATAATACTTAATTATGAAAAAACAAGCTTACAATGATGATGACTACTAATTGGTAATTAATCATCTATTTTGGCTAATTAGAGGTTATGTAGCAAATTAATTAAAAATATTAACATTCTACTAGTATTTAAGCATGGGAATTAAGACTAAATTTTTTAATTAATTCATAAATAACTAGACTAATTGGTAACATACATAGGCTAAATATGAATAATTTGACATATTGCAATTATTTAAACAGTTAATCAAGAATATTTAATTGATAGTTAAGTGTTTTAATGTTTAACTCATAATTATTTATAGCTTAAGTTATCAGCTTTTTGAGATTTTGGTTGTATGATTATGGTTATTAAAGACTGTTGTAACTAAAATATTAAATACATTTTATTTTAGCTTAGTAAATATACATTATTTAATTAAAAATTGTTATTTAGCAGGACAAGTTACTATTAGTTAATATGATGGTAAGTTAGATTAATTATATATGGTATAAATATCTTTAATTTTGATGATTACTACTAAGATATTCTTAATCATGGATTAAGTACTTAATTGAAATTAATAAATATTAATTTTGTTTTACATTTATTACCCTTTTTTAGAAGAACATATTTAAGTGGATCTAAATATTTCCATGTTTTAAATGAAAACAAAAATTAAATAAGATGAAAAGAAAATGGAAATTGGTTTGTTCTAATTTTTTATTCCTAAATATTTTCCATCACATTTTTTATTTTCAAAATAAAATAGATATTTTATTAAATTGGTGAAAACAACAAAAAGAGTTTTTCATATATTTTCAAAACATGTGTGAGCATTTGATTCAAATAATTAGACTAATTGGACAAGCCAGATATTAACATTAATAAAATCACTTATTGATTAATTAACGTTTTACTTAGAATTACATAGGTTTTAAAAGCAATTAGTTTTCATAATCACATATAGGATAATTATGTACTTTTATACTTTGTTAAAAACATTTTTATTAACCATTTAAAGTTAATTAGAGATTAATTAGGAACTCTGAAGCCTTAATGATGATTATTCTGATAATAATTCAAATTGATGTAATAAACTAATGGATTAAAAGTGAAAACAATTGGTAACTACCTCTTTAATTATGCTAATTAAGAAAGATCAAATTCAATTGATATTATTAAAATTAATTATATTTTATAATGATAATTAAGTCTAAAATAACTAAACAGTAGATTTATTGTCAAATGTCAATGATAATTAATGAGAAATTAATTCGAATTAAGGATTAATTAGCATTTCAATAAGTATTAATACATATGAAGTAATTGTTATGGTAATAACTATTTAAAATGCGAATTAAATCGTAAACAATTAGATTAATTGGTAACCAATTATTTATCTTAGATACTTTGGGAGTAATTGATTTTTTTATTATGATTAGGGGTGTTAATTTTCGGTCACGTGTCGGATTCGGGTTGAACCCGAAACTGATCCGGCACTATTCAGGTCTACCCGAACCCGACCCATTTTTTGCAAACAGGCCAGTTTTCCAGACCTGAACCCGACTCGCTTCGGGTCCAGGTCAACCCGATCTGACCCGAATTTCCCGGTGCCAACAAAATACTGCTATTTTTCGAGTCCACAAATGGGTAAATCTCCGCTTTTCTGGTCAATCTCAGGTTGCCGGGTCAAAAACGGATTTTCGGGTAAAAAACGAGTCAATTTCGAGTCAAAGGGTCAACCCGAACCCGATCCGATTTTTTAAATGGGTCAAATTGTTGATCCCGACCCGTTTTGGGTTCAGGTCAACCCAAACTCAAAATTTTAAGGTCAGGTTCAAGTCGAGTCCAATATTGACACCCTTAATTCTCATTATTAAAGTTTTGGCAATATTTAATTATGATGATTTTATATAGTATAATTAATTAATCAATTAATTATGCATATTAGCAAATAGATAACCATTTGTTATGCTTGACTAGGAAATAAATATTTTTAAGATAGTTAAGATTTACAATATTAATAACATTTCTAGTAATATAATTGAATAAATGAAACATTAATTAAGATAAGGAATTAATAATTTATTTGTGATCATTTTAGTAACTTAGATTAAATAGAGATTGAATAGCCTTTAATTGGGATAATTTGTACTTATATGTGAATAATTAAGAGTTAAATACTCAATTATGCTCATGAAAATATATGACATTTCTTATTTCATATTTCATTAATTATCACCCCCTAACACACACACACACCTTTATTTATTTCTTTTTCAAATATACTACTAGGAATGATATCTAAGTTGCAAAGTGCTACTAAGCAACATCTAAGATTTTTTTTTTTTTTTCTTCTGTATCAACCAAAAGATTTTGAATTTGAGATTTTACATATATAATGTATATGAATTTATAATTAAATTCGTTTAAAAGTCAACAAAATAGTGCTATCAACTTCATGTAGAAGTGAAGAGCACAAGCACCATGGAGTTGTAGGATAGCATCATGTGTTGAATTCTTTAATGCATACAAATTCCAACTCTACCTCTCCTCCCCCATGTTAAGAAATAATACTTCATGGCTTCATAAGCATAAGTGCAAGAAATATGTTTAAAATAGACAAACATTTTATCAATATCATAACAAAGTTAAATTTTATCTTGATTCAAACAATGCGTTTAAAGTTTCATTTGGGACAACTTTTTTGCTGCTTTCTAAAACAATTTTTTTAATATAAAAATTTCTTGAATTAAAAATTTTGTTCAAGAAAGTCATTTTAGAAGCAATAAGAAAGCTGTCCCAAACGAAGCCTAAATGTTATTTTCTAGTACTATAAAAAATAGTTTTCATAATATTTCAAGCCTAAATGTCCATATATTTCAAGCATGTCTGATGCAATTTTTTCTAATGAACCGTCCTGCTCCTGCCAAGTTCCCCAAGATGGTGCTATTATACTATCGGAGCAATTTAAAACGCTTCTAAGAGTAATTTCTTAAATGAAATTCAAAGGCTTATATTTCTCCTCTAAATGTTTTATGCAAATCATTGTGGAATACATACCAGATAGTACACCAAATTCAAGACCGGATGGTCAAGAACATCAAGGTCGGCAGCTTTGTCAAATGCATTGAAGCAGATCTAGCAAACAGATAAAAATAAGTCATCCAATAGCGTAAAGGAACAGTGTTGTGCTTAAGGGTTTTAGAATACAAAATAATGCATAACACACTTACCATTACACATCTAATCAAGAAACAGATGAAGCATGTGGCCAAAGCATAGCCAACCTGCACAAGAAGCAAACCGACTAAACTTCAAGTGACAAACATATTCAGAGGCAAAAGAATCAAACCACTAAGAACAATAGAAACTCGAAAGTACTTCTTGCAGCTTCTTCTGCCTTCCGTAGGATTCGGCGGAAAAGTACTGCAACATGAAGAAAAGCCTGCCATAAATGAAGAAAAAGAAACAGATTTGTTGAACTGTTTAACAGTTTTAGTCATGTAATCAAACAAAAATATTTAAATATTATGCATGTTATGGACTTATTTTTGCAAGAGTAAATGCAAGTGATGAAGACAATCGTGAATTATATTTGAATATCATTCATGTTACACGTTACAGGCTCGTTTATATGAAAGAAGAAAAAGTATAACAGTAACAGAGATGATGAGAACATTCTTCTTAATGTAAAGCACCGTTTTGCGTTATAATGAGTTTAGCGATAGCCTCAACATCACTCAAATGAAAACTGGTAGTTTCCAGTGAAAAGACAAGTTTTCAACTGAAATGCATGTGGAGAAAAAGAACAGTAATGACGGCACCATCTAGTATTGAATGCATAAGCAAGAAAAAAAAGTTTCCGAGGAGCCAACCATGATACCATCCACTATTAAATCAACAAAAACTAGTTTATAAGCAAGTATAATCAGATTTAGACTTCATTTGGGACGGCTTTCTTACTACTTAAAAAAGCTTTCTAGTGCAAAAGTTAAAATTTTTGTACTCGAAAGCTGCTTTAAGAATCAGTAAAAAAGCCATCCCAAAGAAGCCTTAGCCGCATGCTTGCCTTCATGGACCTTCGGCTGAATGAAGTTTAAATATTACATAACATAGATTCAAGTCCTTGTAAATACATAGTACTTGATAATAATCACTGGATTAGAACCATGCAAACAATTTGCATGCACAGCTACATAATGGAAACCTTATAAGCTTAAATTTCATATCACCTTCCACCATACAGAAGAAAACCGACAGCAATAAGAAGTGAAACACCTGCGCAATATATCCAGTCAGATACTGAAAATATCAAAATCGTAATGTCAGCATTTAGAATAAATAAATAGCCTTTAGGATAACAAAAAAGAAGAACAAACCGGCAAAAAATATCTTAGCCAGGGCTATGATGACTGCAATTGGCTTCCACCACACGAGCAACCATAGAAAAATCTACAAAACCATGCCAAAGATGTTTCTCAATCAAGCTACGCAAAAGCAAGGAAAGCGCAGTTTCACTGTAAACCAATAAATTTGTCTGATGGATATGAGGTGCTAAATGGATGCCTTAAAAGTTCAGAAATGAAAAGAAATTTCCCAATCTAACATCTACAAGTATATTACCTACTGGCTACTGTTCCCTATCCAAGCAGCTAGCGCTATAGCGAATATCAAACCTCTACAAATATGTTGGATACCACCATCTACCAAATCTCTACAAGTTATATTACTTATAACCACTAAGTGTAATTTAAAAAGATGGGTACATTTGTAAGTAAAGCGTTACAACTTAACCTAATTAATAAGAAGTGAGCAAGGGTAGACTTGATCTAAAACTAATATTAAAATTTTGTATGAATTTAGGGGATGAAATAAATGATTGTATTTTTTGTTATACTTGGTTAAATGGTATATATGACACATGATTTCTCCAACTTATAAAACAAAACTTAGTCAATGAGGTGACATTTTCAAATGTTTCTATCAATAAAATATAAACCAGCAAGGCGTATATGCTCAAATTAATAGTGTGTTGCTTCCATCATTTTAATAGCAATTCACCTACATATTACAAACTATGAAAAACAAGAAATCAGAACATAAAATCCTGCTTTGACAATAGGACGCAATTTTTAGAGAAATTGTAATGCATGGTCGACTCTAAGAGAGCTTGAAGGAAAGGAAATGCATGCGTTTAGCATAGGTTTAATATCTTAATTAGTAATTATTCGTGTTGCGGACTGGAAGATTCGTGGCTGTAGATTGAGTAAACTTTTCATCTTACCGATGCACAGATATCCAGCACACAAACATAAAAAGAGAAATAAAATTTCGGATCTTTTTTACGTGGAAAGCCCGAAGAGGGAAAAACCACAGGGCTTCGCCCAGGTGAAAAGATTCCACTAAACTTGAGTAAATTACAATGGTTGACCCATCCCTCGATTTAGAGGTGGTCAAATTACAGTAGTTTGGAGAGTTAGCCAAAGGTCTAGCGACGTTCGGGCGGAAGTCCAACGGCGTTTGCGCAGAAGTTCAGCTAACAAGGAACGATCCGACAAAGGTCAGGCAGAAGTCCAGCGGCAGGACGGTGGTCCGACGATGGTCGGGCTGAAGTCCAATGGCGGTTGGTCATGTAGAGAGTGGGGGTCCATTTATAGATTTTCATGAGTGGCACACCCCGTAAATATAGACGGGTTCGGAGTGTTTCATCGGATGGCTCGTTTTGATTCCCACGATCATAGAGAGTTTTTCAACAAATTAAGTGCCTTAATGATGTCGGAATTTAGCGATCTTGGGCTCGTTGGATTTGTCTCTCCGAGCCGCGATTTAATTATAAGCATGCCATATTTGGGTGTCATTTTGTCATCCAAATAATGCTTTGACCCTTCCAAATATGGTCCGAGCCCCCGATTTGGACCCATTTGGGCTTGGGTTGGACCGATTTTGGTGTTGTCAGGTTCACCTCTTTGAGATGTTTAGTTTGACTATAAGTTTGCTGAAATTGGAATTCAGATGATCCCGAATTAAATTTTAAAAATTTTCAACTTGAATATGCCCGAGATTCGTGCTCAATCAAAACAATTTTTGAGGATGTATCAATTTGAATCATACTCATATTTATTATTTAACATGAGGATGTAGCAACCTAGCCCAAACCTTTTTTTTTTCCAGAAAGGTAAATCATAATAAGGTGTGCCTAAACCCTTCAAAAAAAAATAAATATGTTAAATTTGGTCTGTCTATATCTGATCGTAACCTGCCTCTTGCACAATTAGATCAGCATGCAGTATATCATTCTGGTAAACTACTTACCAAAGAATTCTTGAAACTTCAATAGTACAAATAGGAAAATAATTAATAACACTCTATGCCACGGTCCAGTCATCTCCTCCCCTTCAAAGAGCTATAATCGTTCATTACTGATTTATGTATCTCTTTGTTTTAGCCGTGTATTTTTGCCTTTGTCCTTTGTAGTACTTGTTTGTATCCTTCCGTTTATGAATGAATTTTTTTCCTTTCACAAAAAAAATAAAAATAAAAAATAGTTCAATTCTCCACGACATATACTCATTAATTAGCAGTTGATTACATCAATTAATAGCTTTCTTCCACCTGTTTTCCTAATCTTCTCTTTCCTCCAACTTATTCATTGTATTCTTCTTTAATCAATGAGCAAAGTGAAATTCATTTTCCAATTATGAAATGCTTAAATAAGTTAAATAAGCTTGTGTGGGCTGCATAAGAAACTTGACTGGGCTTCCTAGATTGCGAGAGAATACAAACTCAATATAGTGTTATAATTCTAGCAAACAAGTACGTAAGATCAATTAATCAAAAATGATATCAGCTATTTTCCATTGCAATCATATGCAGATTCCTGCAACCAATACACATGGAGGAAAACATTATCATTACAGCTACTTACAAAAAGCAAGAAAAGATTTTAGATTTCCATAATAAGTAAGATAACATGCAGGTAATACTCAGATATGCCTTTGAATTACAATAGATTTTTTAAAACTCACCTGCACAGCATAAACCACCGCATTAATCTTGCAGAAAACCGGTCTCAATCCATCTGTACATATTCCCTGTGCCTAAAATCCACACTCAATGTCAAAGCTACGAAAAAAAGATCAAAATATAAGGCATACATACCATTCCATGTATCTCAGCCCAAAGCAGAACCAAGAGAGCATATGTTGTGAAGAACGCAAGAGCAGGCATATCAAGTAGCATGTGCTGAAAAATCTGAAATAAATAAAAAAGCAAGAGCAAAAGTTCTGACAATCCATCCAAATCACAAAAAAACATCACAAAAGAGTAACAAAGCTAACCTCAGGGCTTATTTTCTGCACACTTCGACGGCATGCAAATACAATTGATCTAACTATAAATATGTGTGTCAAAACATAATGGCAATGAATAAATGTCCAATTCAACATAAAATAGATGGAAACAAAGCATTCTCACCTCCATTAACAAGAAAGTTCAATAGAAGAAACACTTTTTGAGTAGTCCATCCAAACTCCGGAACTCTATACTCAATTCTGATATATTGTATCTGCAAATATAAATTCAAACAAAAGTTAAAACTTTGATGGAGCAAAATTATGGAAGATGCCACAAATTTGTGCTTGACGGTGCGGTCTACTTTATGCTTGTTAAGTTTGTAAATTTTGGGAACGCACATATGTTACAGCTCCACACTTTTGCTCCACACATATGAACATACATATGATATAATGAACTAACTGGAACATTAATCGCGACTTTTGCTCCGAGCAGATGCCCTAGACGACGGCCCTTCTCCCTTGGCTCGGACGAGATCCTCTCTCCGCCTCTCCGTTTGGCGCTTTGCTGCCGCCGGCGCGGCTCCGCTAGGGCTCCGCCCTAGCGCCTCTTCGGCGCGTGGATTCCGGCCGCCCGCCGTCTCTCCGCCTATTTGACTCATTTTTGGGTATTTTCTCACCCTTCTCTTTGGTTTCTTGAGTTATTTGTGCTCATGGCCGGTAAAAGATTAGTTGATCCGGGTTTTTTGGATGGTAACACCTCTTCTAGATCTTTCCGTGAGGCTTTATTTGGCATTTCTTCCTCTTTTCCTGACCTGAAAATCTGTACTTTTCGTGGTTTGCCCTCTTTGTGGATTTCAGAGGCCGAAATTTTTGCACTTGCTATGCCTTTTGATTTCGCTTTGGTTGGGAAATTTCCTAACCATCGTCCATCTCTCGAAGCTATTCGCAAATTTTTTTTCAACCTTAAGCTCATCGGTGATTTTTCTGTAACTGTTCTTAATCCAAAGAATGTTTTAATCAAGCTTGTGAACGATTTGGATTATTGTCGTGTCTTTGCTCACCGCTCCTATTTTATCAATAATTGTTACATGAGGTTGATTAAGTGGTCGCCTTCGTTTGATGTTAATGTTGAGTCGCCTATTATTCCGATTTGGGTGTCTTTTCCAAATCTGAGACCTCATCTTTTTTCGCCTAGGATTCTTCATGGCCTTGGGTCTATTTTTGGCCGCCCCCTTAAAATTGATCATGCCACCTCCTCTGGTTCTAGACCTTCGGTTGCTCGTGTGCTGGTGGAATTAAATGTTTCCAAACATTTTCCCGATAAAGTGTGGGTTGGTCCAGATAACTTGGGTTTTATCCAGGCTGTGGTTATGGAGGATTTACCGCCGTATTGCTCTCACTGTAAATCTTTGGGACATTCAAATTTGGAATGTCATTTCTTGCACCCACATTTGGTTGCTCGTCCTAATGTGGGTGTTGAGCCTGTCATTAATGGTAACAATTTACCCTTAAGTAGTAAGCATGTTCAGACCGTTTCTAGTGAACCTTTGCTTACTGGTGGGGAGGGCCTTTCGGTTGTGCCTTCAACTGATGAATTGTGTGATCCTGCTGAGCAATTTACTAATGGGATTGATGGGTCTTTGACTGTTGCCTTGTCATTAGCTCATTACTGTGACAATAATGTGGATAAAGTTGCGGCTTGTGAAGCTCTTAAGGATGGTTTTAATGAGAACGTTGTTGAGGCTTGTGTGGTGAATGCTATGTCCGGTGTTCAAGTTGGTAATCTTATGGGTGCTGCTACTGTTTTATCCCCTAGCGGGAAGCCAGATTTGAATGCCCCTGTTCTATCTAGGGAGGATAATGTTGTGCTAGATGCTGGTGTGTGTTCAGATGTTGCTGATACTGTTTTGTCACCTAATGCTACTCCTTTTATTCCCTCGTGTGTGGTGGACGATTTTGGTCATACGGTTGTGATTGAGGCTTTGCCGGCTGTTGATCTGGTGCCGATTGGTTCTGAGATTTTGGTTTCTACTCCTGCTATTGTTGCGCCTGTCTCTGCTGCGTGTGGTAGGGGGCCTGGTGGGTTGGTTGATGGTGATTCGCCTGTTTTAGGTGTTGTGGGTGATTCTGTTCAGCTTCAGAATAGTGCTATGAATGTGGATACAAATGTGTGTGGACAGGTGGTAAATTCGGATGTGGAAGGCTTGTTGGTCAATTCTCAAAATTTGGTTAATGTTCCAGTAAACTTAATGGCATCCCAAACTATGATGTACCAGGTGGGAGGTATTTCCGGATTGGATGTTAGGTCCCATGCTGATTGGTTGCATAATTCGTCTGAATATGAATCTGATTCTGAGTCATATTCAGATCCTGGAAATGAGTTTAAAATGGCACGTGATAGACCTCTTACGGTTGCTTCTCGTGGGAAATTTTGGACTAGAGGTGGGAGAAGAAGATAATTCATTTCAAGGTTGATTGTTTCTTTCATTTGATCGGATTGCTCATCGATTGGATTGGAAATTGTTTCTTGTGGCAACCTTTTCTGGATGGCCTTGTGCGGAGCGGACTCGAGGGTGCTAGGGGTCTCGGCCTTCTCTGAGCCCTCTTTTTTCGTATTTTTATTTTCTGTTTTATTGTGATTGTATCTTTTATTTGGTGTTCTTCTCTTTATGTTTTTTTTCCTTTCTCCAGCTGTTGTAACCCCGTCTTTTTTAGTTAATAGATCAAAATTTTGTTCAAAAAAAAAAAAGGAAAAAAAAGTATTTATAGAGAAATGGACTTAATTTTTAAAATCAAAATATAAAAAAAAAAAAGGCTTTAGAAACACTCATGTTTTGGGATCTCTATTGGCTTGCATTAATTTGGATAGTTCATTCATTTTTTTAGTCTAATTTGGCACTTTGGCAATTGGGAAAGTTGAGCATCTTGGGCTGAAAACTTATCAAATTTTGGGCTTTTTGTTCGATCCGATTTTTCTAATGTTTTTATGGCAGTTGATATGCCAAGGTTTTAGTCTATTGCAGGCTAAAGTTCCAGCACAAGTTCTAACTTAAAATACGTCTTATTATTATTATTATTATTAGGTTTGTACTATGTTGTCGATACAATGGCAGCTGCAAATAAATCTTATTTATGCATATAAATAAATTTGAATTCAAATTGAATTTTTTATTCGAATTCAAATACAGATCTCCAACTACCCACAAATACCACCTAATCTTTTATAGTTTCTTAACCATATCCTAAAAATTCTCCGCCAATTCAATCCATATCTAAATTTTGATGAAGTGAATCATTTAAAACACTAATTAAATGATTAATTCGACTACTTCAAATAAAGTATGGTAATTAGTAATTAGTTAGCAATAAGGATAATAAATTAAAACTTAGTCATAGTTTGAATCTTAAATGATTAACTATTCTAATTAACGCTAATCAGATTTATAATTATAGATTAATAAATATAGTACTAAGGCTCTTCAACTTACTCTGATAATAATTAATTGTTTAATATTCATAATAAATTTTTATCCATTAATTTGAATCCTTGCATTATTCATGACATCAATTTGAATATTACTTTACAGAGCAATCATCTATTTTACTGTATAAAACATCAAATAATATAATGTTAAATGTGACATCAAAATTATATGATGCAATGTTATATTATTGGGATTTATTGTCTTGTAGTGTGTAAATGCATTCCAAAAAATCCAGATTCACAACACGGATAAAAAATATATATGTAAAAATTTAAATAAGAGAACCATACCAGAAACAGAACAGAACCAAATCAGAAGTTCTACGAAATGCTAATATTTTAGCCGATCCGCTTAGTTTATATCTATCCAATAGAGAAACTAATTCTAAGAATCAAAATGATGAAAAAAAAAATCGGGGTGTAAATCAAATCAAAGGAGAGGGAGGATTAAAACAAGAAGAAAACATTACGCATGCGAATGTGGAAACCAATCCGAATAGAGGCTGAGAGGAATAGAAGATCCGATTCTGCCACGCTGCGGACTCATTCACCCCTCCACCAATCCGTCGCAATGCTCAACGTGGACGCCATTGATGAATAAAATGGCAATGCCATTACTTGGATTTCATTTCAGCTGGCGGCCGAACTCTGGTTCTCGGAGCGCTCGCCGCAGAGGAAGTCGGACAATGGCGGTTCGAATTTTGATCGGCGAGACTTCGATTTCGGAAAGCGAATGGGTAAAATTAGTTGGAAGGAATTTTTTTTTTTTTGGTAAGTTTTAACTTTTAATCA